CTAAAGAATGCCTGATTTTCAGGCATTCTATAGAATGCCTAGGAAATACACGAATCTTTCCAACATATAAGTGTATGTTGTATAAGATTATGAGCACAGACCGACATGTAACATTATTATTTTCTGCCAGGCTACCTTGCGTTCAGCTATTTATGTGCATTCAGTCAAATGTTCATTCAGTCAAATTTTCCGGTCAGGTATTCAATCTGACCTTATTAGGTCAAATTGTATCAGGATTTCATTCTGAGAGTACAGAGTATTTATCTTAACGCTAGAAAGACGATGGTGGTAATGTCAATATCGGAAACGCCTTTGGTTAAAAAAAAAATTACACAGAAAAAAATTGACAAATCGTCCATTTTTGGAGGTGTTTGCCTTCTAAGGAATTGATTTAAGGTCAAACTGAAGAAAACGGCTACGAGCCAAAAATGGACAAAAATTGGGCTGACCTAAAAAATGGCTTAGCTATTTGTTTTAGAAATGGCACCCTTTCGAACATTGCCAAAGAAGAACTGAAGTAAAATTTCATAATTTTGACTCTTTGACGACCTTTCGAATACCGCATGGCCCAGAAGTCAAGCTGGAAGGGGAGATCGAACAACACCTAATCCGGCTCTTGTTACGGCCGGGCCACCGCCCAGACGTGGAATAATGAACCATTTCTTCAGGTTATTCCCTGACATTACGGTGTAGGTTGAGCTGTCCATGTATGTATATTGAGAGTCGTTACACGAAGTGCTTATGACGACATAAAATGTGACCTTTGGTGTATTTTTCACCTTCATTTCTAACATCAGAACAAAACCATCGTCATTCGCGATCACTTTCGATTCAAGCCTACGGTCCACCCTCCCAGCCAACACTCTTCTAATGCAGCTTCGTATCTGTAGCAGCATAATCCTCCGAGGGTAACCGTTTAAGCGACTGGTTGGCCTGTGACTCTCCCGCGTGCCTTGCGCCGTGGCTCTCCCGTGCCAACGGAATTGGATCAGCTGCTGCTTGCGGCGCACCATTTGGTGGTCGGCATAGCCCAATACCTCCCTCGCTTCCTCTCAGCTCATTGCCCTGAAATGGTGTGAGGTGACGACCGGCCTAGGCCAACAATGAAAATTAGGTAAACAAATAGCATTACTGCCACTGACCCCTTATTTTCGAAGTGTGTTTCGGACAATCAAAATACTTAGGCATTCTATAGAATGCCTGGGAGCTTAATCCAGGCATTCTATAGAATGCCTAAGCAGTCAGGGATTCTATAGAATGCCTGGTCGGTCAGGCATTCTATAGAATGCCTAGGCATTCTATAGAATGCCTGATTCCACACATTGCCTGTAACATATATATTAGGGTGGTCCTTATTTCCATACAAAATTTTTATTTTTATTTTTTCGCGCTTGCGCCCCCTCAAATGATGCCATTCGTCTAGAAACGTGGAAAAAGAGCAAAAAGAGCGAAATCGGCGGATGCTTTTTGGTGGCTCAATGCATATTAACCCTCGTATGTGTAGGGGTGGGATGGACCCCCATGAGTTTTCGCGAATAACTCACGTAAAAAGCGGCCGATCGCGACGAGACTTTCAGTATCCTCGAGATGATCAATTTTATACATACTCTGAAAATTTCATGACCCTGACCCAAATGACCTTTGACCTGTGACCTATTTCTCGAGACCATGTTTGGCCGGAGTCGCGATTCAGCGTATGTCAGCTCTCATTATCCGCGTGTTTCTAATATTTTTGCGATTATAAACGTCCAAACATGTGAAATGATGTTCGCCCCATGCATTACGGTGGGTGTCAAGGTCACCTGAAGGTCAGGTCAGGTCAGGTCATTGACCTATGATGACCTCGTGTCACTTTTCCGAGGTATACATGTTTCTAGGGCAGTTTTTCGGGCTGATTTCGAATTTAGCATCCATTTGAACATTTACGAAGTAGTTTTGGTGCCTTTGTTATGTGTTACGACGCCACCAGTGGTAGTTGAGACCTACTATGGGTAGCCGGCAGGACGCCTAATGGCTGACCTGACCTGACCTGACCCGACCTGGTCTAAATGCACGAATACATCATATGTGATCAAAACTAGCATGAAATTCGTGATCAGCACCCCCAAAAACAATACAGCTTCACTGTACGAAGCTCTTGCAGGTCCCGATTTTTCTGACCACTGGGTCATTGACCTGACCTGGAAGGTCAACCAATGACCTAGGACCTTAAATTGGATATCATCGGTTTCCTCTCGTCACGGGCAACACGCTCGTTTTTTCGCAAAGCTCTAGCGCGATCTGGAGCCAAAAGGCAGAGGGGTCCAACCGACCCCCCCCCCCCCACACACACACACGTTAGACGATAGCGGAAAGTTGCGGCGTGATGGCCGTGGTTCGACCACGCTTTCGGGATGACAGAGTGGCTGTACCCATGCTGGGGCCAGGTCTCACGGCTCCGCGAAGTGGGGACGATTCGGAGCTACTCGAGGTTATGCTTTCCAGCTCCACTTGGTCGGCTGCCGCCCGCGCCTCCTCCGACGCGACGCCTTGCTCCTCCTCCTCTCTTCGGCGTCATCCCTCCTCCTCTTCTTCTTTTCTTGGGAATGGAGCGCCATGTCTGCCTCTGTCATTCTATCCCGTCTCCCTGGCTCACGTTGGGCGAGAAGGAAGGCGCGATCTTCCGGGATGGTTAGGTATCAAGGACATTGCGTCACCGTGGGCGATATCAAAGATATTTTCCAGTTGTTTCTTGAATACGTCCTCGTTGCTTGTTTGGGTGGCGGAAGTCCTGTTCTTGTTCTTTTTCAGGCGTTTCCACTCGTCGAAGAGAGTTTCCACCTTCTTGACCGCTCTCCCTTTGTGCTGGGTGGGATTCCTGGCCCTGGCCCAGAACTCCTCTACTCTAGTACCTTCTCTAACGTCCGGTTGGCCACTTCCCGGACCGTTTCCTAGAGGATTTGGTGGCGGTGGAGGAAGTAGGCGAGAGATTGGCCGCGGGATGGGAGCTTGCATAGGTGGTGGAACGGGAGGGGGCACTGGAGCACCGTGCCCCCATTAATTTTGCCATTTTAGTATAACCCTATGGGCGTTGCATGGAAAGAATGGGACCAAAAGTCGGCAGTGCCCCCCCCCCCTAATTGAAGGTGTTCCGCCGCTACTGGGAACTTGGAGCCAAGGAGTTCATAACTGGGGGACACCATGTACCCAGAAGTTTGCGACGCAGACAACCGTTACACCTGAGGAAGAGGGAACGAACGTTGATCGACGAAACGGACATTGAGCGAACATTGACGAACGAACGAGCGTTGAGCTACCAGTAAATAATGAAGTAGGGATCTGAAATTTTGACAGACATGTTTTTTCGTTAAACGGCACCGATTGAAGGGGCGCAAGGTATCCAAATACGATTTTCGAAAATAAGGACCACCCTAAATATATATATATATATATATATATATATATATATATATATATATATATATATATATATATATATATATATATATATATATATATATATATATATATATATTCAGATATATATTCATATGAAACCCTAGCGTGTAAGCGCGGAATTGTATCAACACAGCATAACTTCTGAAACGACAAGTGTCCATTCATGTCCTCACACGAGCGCCTACAAACACGTCTAATGGTGCGGAGCTTGTCAAATCACCGGTGTGGGCGTGCTCGTGACCCTGACCTGTCGAGCACTGATGGCCTCTTCACACGGCCGGCCGCCGACGTCGCGGCCGGGCGCTGTCCTATTGAACGCCCTAATGGCGCCCGATCAGGGCTGGTGCTGACCGGAACCTGGAGCGACTTCGGCCGAAAGGTGAACAGCGATGGGGCGGAGGGGGGGGGGGGGCGGTGGAGCAGCGGCCGAACAGCAGAGGGAGAGACGATAAAGCAGCAGAGGGAACAGCGGGGGCAGCAGGACAGCAGGGGGGGGGGGGGTAACTGGATATCGTGGAACCGGACAGCAGCGGGACAGGCGACAGAGTGGACAGGGACAGAGTGGACGTTCGGATGGGTTTTCGGGACGGCCGATGGGATGCCAGCCCGCGTACCTACCTGTTCTTGAATGACGAAAAATCGTGTCGATGAGGCGTTCGACCCCGCTTATCATCACGGAGTAGCGAGTCCTGAGCAGCAGGCTGTTTAGTTTCTGCTCCTGCCGCTAGATGTCTTGCAAGCAGAACGCCTGACTGATGCTGTGCCGCATGGCACAGCAGTTTCCTGAACTCTCACTAGATGGCTCTGGGATATGGCGCCTGGAACATGCTGTGCCGCCGGGCGGCCTTCGGCCGACAGCGTAAGTATGCGTTGGTCTGTCAGTCGTTGTCTCGTCGCGTTTAACGTTTTTTTTTTTCTGGGTAAATAGTGAGTGACGAAAGAGTGCTGCTAACCACTGCCCAGGCCTGAAAGCATGAAACGGCATGATATCGGCCTGATATAAGGTACGGTAGTACGGTACCGATAACTACTGTGAAAAATCATATAAATTGGTCCTAGATTTTGGATGGCGCGTCAGGGTTCTACTAAGCACGTATCAGCTACCTGAAATGGAGCTGTTTATATCCGATATATGGAATTACAATAGGACCAATTCATGTCGAATATTGAGCAAATTTAAGTAACAAATAGGCTTAATCGGCGGCCATGTTCAGCTTTCAAACGAGCAGGGTTATAGCACTGATCTGTCTGTCTGTGTGTCTGTTCGTCTATCCCCTTTTTTTCTTTGCCGTTTTTTATAGCAGTCTCTCGCTTTGCCTATTCTCACTCTCTTGTCTACTCCCTAGTTCTCTCTTTCTCCATCCTCTTCTACCCTTGGCCATCTATCCCCGTCTCCCATTCTCTGTCCTGCCTCCTGCCCTCTCTCTCGCCTGCTTCGTTGGTTGCCGGGCTCCACGATTGGGGAAGACCACCCGGTGATCAGTTGAAGCTCAGGCTTTGTTGGCCTCGGGTGCAGCAGCTACAGCTCGGCGAGGTGGAGCCAGGCGCATCAGCCGTCGGTTACCGCTTAGGTACTTACTTTTTCGCTGGATAATTGGTTGTTCGCAGCATATACCTACATTTGTTGCAATAAAATTATTTAATTATTGACAAGGCTCAGGCGCTTCCGTACCTATGTAAAACGACATTACTGTGGAATTGTCTAAGTCTCACTTATTATGTCTATGGTGGCCCATGCCGGTCTACCTATTTCGCTGTCTGTATTTTGCGCTACCCGGAACTGTTCAGTGTCCGCCGTTGCCGTCTGTTGCGACGTGGCAGGTGGATGGTGACTAGAGGTCCGATGCAGTTTCCCGACGACGTGTTCGAGCCAGAGTCACCAGACGAGGAGCAGGACGTCACCCAGCTCTACAGCAGCTACGAGCAGTACGTCGCCGCGCAGGTCACCCTCGACGACCTCTTCTACCTCGAGGTGAGGAAATGGATCACAAATGATGTTTACCAGATCTATAAATATTTACCAGCATCATCAATTTATCATTTCCTTTTATGAATAGTACAAAAAGCCGTGCATTGTTGTCTCGTCGCACGGATGTAATAACATCGTTTTATTTTGTCACCAAAAATGAACAATCGCTTAAATTATTGCCTGTTTCAAAGTTTTTTTTTAACATAACTTGAGCATGTCCGAAATTGATCTGAACTTTGACCAGCATAAATGTTTTAATTCATGATGTAATAATGCTTATCACTCGTCTCGATAAGTTTTATATCAAAGCATGAACATCGGCAACACCATTTACATCACATAATCATTCTGACAGAGACTAAAGCCCGAATACGTATTCGGAGTTTATAGCCTATGCGTTCCTTTTTTCAGGATCAGGACCTGGCTGAAGTAATCATCAAGCTGGGCTATCGTGGCAGTGGCGGAGTGGTGATTACTCCCGAACACTTTCAGAAGAATCAACAACCAACAACAGACGGAAAAACGCACTCTGAAACGTCTTATTCCTCGCTTATGGCAACATCTTCGTCAGGTCACATCTCCTCGGACCAGAGTTTCAAACGAGGGGCTCGCGGTCTTACCACTCCGACAGCAGTGAGCACACACTCCGAGGAGCGCGGAGGTCTTCCAAAGTCGCCCCGTCGCGTGAAGACTTACACACGCTCGTCGTCGGAGCCGCTGGTCTCTCGTCTGGTCAGGCGATGGTCCTCTCAGGACACACTGTCGTCTCCTCTGATATCAGCAACAAATAATTGGCAGGAGAGTCCGTCAGAAACTGCTAATGAACGCCATCCCCGACCAGAGAAGGTTCGTGCAAAGGTGCCGATGATAAAAGCGAAATCAAGCTACGAAATAGTAAAACAAAGCTCTCAGTCAAAATATGCATTTTTGCGTAAAAACCACGGAGGAGGATTTGTCTTGATGGACCAGAATCTTTCGCCGAAGGAATATCAAAGACAATTTCCGCGCCAACGGCGGTTCGGAAACCACAAACAAACAAAAAGCGGTATGATGATGCCTCAGACCGCGAGCAAAGTTGCTACGGCTCAAATAGATGCTCAAGACGCAAATGAGCGACAGGCATCAAAAATCCAAACAGGACTCGGATACAATTTTCTGGCCCTAAAATCGCACGGCTACAGACTGTGTTCATTTGAACACCTTCCTGGATGTGCTGCTAAGCCAGCTGAAACGCGCAGTGATCACAGACGGGTTAATTTCAACATTCAGTGTCAGGAGCACGATAAGCACCCGTTTGAAAATCAGCCAGGCAGCTCTCTGGTGCAGCCAACACCAGTGGGACTTGTAACCCCCGCTGGTTCATCAGATTCAGAACAGGGCCGGGTAAAGTCGGCGGTATACGACGGACGCCTCGATCACGAAAAATGTGTCACTGGGCTCGGCACCAGCATACGAAACCCTCGCCCTGGTGTAACGTGTCCGAGCGGCAGCCGGTCACCCGTGAGCAGTGCCGATCGCGTCCCCGCTGCTAGCGGCCCCAATACCACTGAGAGGTGCGGCAGCGGCCGCCAGCGCCGCCACCGGGACAAGTTCGCCGGCTGGGGGCTGTCGGCGGCTCCCGGCGAGGGTCCGACTGCTCCCGATGAGGAGCTGGCGCGGCTGTGTCTGACGGTGCACAGTCTGCGGCTGCCTGCCGGCGCCGAGCGGACGGGAAGGCTGGCCGGACCGCCGCCGCCGGGCCCCGGCCCCACCCGTCTCACCGTGCCCCGGCCGACCACCGTCACCGGCCACCGTCAGGCTGAGAGGCAGCGGTCGCTGGTGTCTACCTACACCCACACCGCGAGGACCTCGGCCAGCGGAGCGCGGCGGTAGCCGGTGGACTGAACTAGTGGTGAAAGTTTCGGAAAATGTATGTCCAGTGTCCGATGTTTTCGTCGACTGCCCGTCCTACGATGTCCAAGCCAGCCATTTGCCTAAAGACGTCCGCAAACAACGCAATAATTTACACTCAACATTGTTATTTAATATGCATGAATGTACTATTATCAGCCCAATTTTGTTCATCATATCGAGAGTTGAGCTTTCCATTCGCCAATCAATGCTAAATGTACCGGGTGATTAAACCGGGTGAAAATGGTAGATACTTACACGATTACTAAAAATGATGAGGTGTAGGAATGCTGAGGTGTACAATGTTGTCCAAACATGCTGCTTTTGTCCAACAAAATTCCGGACTGGATATTGGACAAGATTGTAATTTCGAATGTCCAAGCTCCGATTGGCACCATTAGACTGGGCCATAATACAAGCAGTACATATGTAGATGCACAGATCACCTACCTTTGTCCGTGTGCAACGATGTATGTAAGCACGCAATGATTGAATCGTGGCAGTATGGAAATACGAAATGAATATACGGAGTACGTACTAGCTTCGAAAATTAGGTATGCATCCACACATAGTTTTTTTCAGGTGATATATAGGTGCTTATAGGATATATTTACACAACATGCATAGCTTTAAAACTACAAAAACTCTGCATGCGAACTTCAGTACGAAGAATGCCAACGTTGGCGCGAATTGAAACTTAGCTTTATTTCAGTCTTGCGCTGGTTTATCTGAGGAGGACCCGAGGGGTAATCCCAACCACCGCAACCGGGGCCGTTTTCCGTCCCCCCCCCCCCCTACTAACTCCGCAAATAAGGGAGCTACGGAAACAAACGGTACCTGACGAGAGATCTGCACAGGAAGATTCTAAAGCACCCAATTTTTGTTTTATCTCAGGTCAGTTATCAAGGTCAGAGGTCAAGGTCAAAGTAAAAAACCGGCACATTGTAGTGATCTCAAATTAAGCGTTCCGGAGGACGGCAGGATGCATGAAACCAGCCAAAATGGGTGGGAAACGAAAGACGAGGACCTGGAAAACCTGTTGACGCGTTAATCAAGGAATTATGTTTTATAAATTATCAATGTCGTTGGATGATATGCACAGAAATAAGTCATATGCAAATTATGCCAATTCCCACCAATTCCGTGCAAGTCACCGGGAAAAGTGGCAGCTTTCTTTACATAAACATCGTCACTATTGCTTGCAAAAATAAAAGTGATTTTTCTTTGAAACAAAATTTTTTGTTGTTTCGGGTGTTTTAAAAAATATATTTGATGACATAAAATTGAAAAAAGACCTACATTTAGTTCTTCAAGTTATCTTCTCTGACTTATTCATCACTATCAGCATTTGTAACCTATTTTGTGATTGGTGTATTCAAACAATCGTCACTGGCATCAGCTGTTCGGATTGGATTTTGACTTTCCGGCTCACTTCTGGCGCGGCGTCGGTCGGAGTGACTGGGGAGTGACGTTTTTCTTTATATATTTTCCCGGGCCTATTTTGGTGAGTTATATTTCTATGCTATTCTTGTTGATGCAAAGGATAACGTTTACACCATATTCCGTCAAATACTGAGCTGTACATGATTATTTGAGATGTTGAGACGAACCCGGCGCAACACGTGCTGTTCGCATTGTTCTAACATTATTGATTTTTTATCAATTAAAAAGTATTCCGTTTGATTTCTGTGTTATTATTCCTGTGTTTTTATGCAAAATATTCAATAGCCCTGCCCAAATGTGTCTTGAAAACATAATTGTAAAGATGGCTCAAGTGCAGAGTTGGAATTTTGGTGGAATCTGAAAATGGCGCTGGATGACATTTTCAGTTACGTAATACTTTCCCATATACCACGATTTCTTCATGTTTTGTTATTTTGATGTCACTTTCATAACATATGTTGCGCAGCTCGAGGGAAACTACAAGGCTTAGATCCAAAAATTGATTGGTCAATAAGTAGACTTTTGGTGACCATATCAGTCGGTGACACACCAGGGAAATAAGCTAAAATTAGAGTGCTCTATTTATTGCTCCCGCTACTTCACCGTCTCCCATAGGGTCCTGTGTTGAGCTGGTGTCGAGGCTCTAAAAATGACGCCGATTTTTGCACCCTTCTCACGAAAATCGCTCGGACCGCCTGGAAACCAATTGTTCCGCTCTAAAAATTTCATGATCGACGGGAAAATGAATGAGGAAAAGATTGGTCCTGAAATAATTCTGAACTCCCTGTAGAACATATCGAAATATGGCTGCAAACTAGGAGCATGTCAAAATCGACAAAACAATACAAATAAACTTACCGGGATTTTTTTATTTTCCATGCATCTGTGTATGAAATGAGTCGGTTTTTCGGAAAGATCACCTTCTGTTTAATTAATAATTCCACAATTGCAATCGAGAAAAAAAACATTTCCGCTGTGACAGCAGTTTTGGCATTGTGCCAGTAGTGTGGCGTTCGCGGTGCTGCGTGGTCGTCGGGACGGAGTTGTGAGTATTTTCGGTGTTTTAAATGGTTGATGGCCATTTGAACCAGCTTCATATTATTTCCTACACATTTTTGCATCAAATTATTGCTTTGAAAGACCATTGAAACCCCTTATCTCTTCATGAAACACGATCATATTCATCGTCGACGAAAATGGCGCGGGACTCCATGTGCATTCCGATCGAAATAAATCGTAAATTAAATAATATTCGATGATAAGTATCATATTCTAGTGACACATTTTCATAAAATAAGGCATAAACTTTGCAAGGAAGTCAACATTGGATAATTGGATTCTTATTTTGCTCACATATCCTTGTAGTAGTCAAATGGCTCAATTGTTAGATAGATGTAAGTATATGTTTTGGCTTGATGTTTGCTGTGAAACCACCCAGCCACTTGCAGGTTGAGTGATTTTCTGATAATTACCTGATAATCATTTCTCCTTTTCCTTAAAAGAAACTAAAATTCCTTTCAAAGTAATCCATTTTAAGGAATGGCGGCTTGCTCATTGGCATTTCATGTTCTTGTTTTGTTATTGCTGGCAGTATTTTGATACAATAATGCAATATGAATTTTTTGCAATAATAAAACCTAAGACAAACTCAGTTAATGCGTCAATCAAACACCCAACAGAAAGATTGTGAGTCCTTGTAACGTGAAGCATAATATTCTATGAATGTGTTATATAGAATATGCCAAATATTAAATTAATTATTATTTGATACTGATAGCTGAGCAGGTGAATTATGCCACAATATAATTTCATTTTCTGGTTTTGAAATAGCCGGCAGTATTTTACTTCAACAAATGTAATATACATGGAATACATGTTGTTATGTTACCTATGTTAAAAGTTTAATAACAGCCAACAGAAGGAGCTGTTTCAGCAGATAATGTTTGTACCTTATGCATTACCTTTCTTTTCTGCAGGGCCATGCTTCCGCTGGGTGGTCGACATTTGCCTCCTGAAGAAGTTGAGCAACATGAAGACCACCAGATGAGGTGTCTGCAGTTCATGTGGAACTCTGCAGACTACAAGTGTTATGCCAACCACAACCAAAGTGCTGTGATCATGGAGGCATGAACCTCATGACAACACTTCAGATTTGCAGTTGAACCAAAGTGTGATTCAAACCACCTGTGGCATCTCACTCAATGTGTGAACAGTGTGATTATTGTGCAGTGTTCAGCTGCAACTAAGACATTTTTTAGTGACTTGTTTGCAATTAGCCACCAAAAGCATTTTTGGGCTGGCTGCTGTAATTTGTTGTGCACACTGCACTGCACAATAGTGGTAGTGTTTTGTCACTTGTCAAGTTGTCAGTTGTGCATGTTGCATGTTTCTCTTCCCTCGGCCCTCATTATCAGTTAAGTGGTGAATTGGCATCACTCAGTCTCCCCAGATCTCCATTAGGCATTAACTGTCTGTCAACCACCTAACTTGAGATGGTATTTGCTAATAGTGTCAGAAAAGAAGTGATTGTAGACATTTTTAGGAATATGAGCTCCGTTTCATGCGTGTTCCAGTGGTCATTTTGTCACATGTCCCATAGTGTAATAAATGGAAACTGTTGTTCCCTTTTGAAGGTACTCGCGGATGCAGAAAGCGTTGGGCCTAATTATTAAACGCACCCTCCTATCAGCGACGCACGAAATCGACAAATATCATCCTTTTTAGAACAGGAGGAAACGAAAACTTGTGAACATAGCTGTACCTACAACAGTGCATAAGGAATTGAAATTCTGGGAGTTTTTGAAATTCGGAGAAACTCAAGTTGTCGACAGGTATGCCCCCGCCCCCCTTGCACGTCAAAGACCGCCTAAAAAACAAACGCCTACAAATGAAGGCATTATTCGTATGTTCGTTGTAATTGCAGCAGCCTGGCAACATGTATTGCGGTCCGATGGCGAATTACACTCGTGCTCAAAAACTGCCGGTAACTGCCAATGCACTTAGGTCATAGGTGAGGAGAGGAAGGGTTATGTCATATATCAACATCATAGAAATGGCTTCATCTGAGCTGTGCCTATTGTACATAATTCAACCAATCTATGCATTTCGTTTCTTGCAATCTACTCATGCTTTCACTCCAGCTTCAGAGTAATCATCCCATATGGTACGTCTTAAGATATTGATTTCTATGGCGGTTTGCAATTACTAGCCACGTCTCACCTCAGTTTGGTGGCCCCGCATCGGCCCACTCGGCCGCTCTAAAATTGACTTACGGAGGAGGATGGTGGCTTTTATTTTAGCTTCTCCGCCGACTGCGGGGAGCGCCGTCGCCGAGGTAGGAGCAATAATTAGCTTATGTTTGGGACTTATTTCCACGCTTAATTAACATTTTAATGTTATTTTAATTAATTCATGTTAATCTTTGACGCATTCTCTTTCTATTGATACCATCCACCGGTCTGAGAATTACTGCCTTGCTGCGTAAGGGCCGATAAAAGATCACGCTTTTAGGGGTATCTCTTCAACATGGGGCAGGAGCA